ATAATCCATGGGATGTTTCACCGGATATTAATCGGTTGTTGACTTTACCATGGATTATTCGCGTCTCTTCGGCAGGAGTTTTCGTATGTGTCGACAATAAGTGTTATTGGTCATCTGGCGCCAGCTTTCTTTCTGGACATCGCCTAGAACACATTGTGAGGGATAGCTTCTCAGTCGACAACAATTTTGAATTAATAGCAGGCGGAGGTTTAAAAGAAGATTTTGGTGAGTATTTTGGGTTGTTGCAGAAGCTTGTTTATTCATATATTAAAATCGGCAAATATACTTTTGTAATCTGTTATTGTGTTAGTTTTTGAAGGAGATCGAGCTTGGCAAACTTAATACTCTTCCTATTTTGAATTTAGTATTGGTGGGTTTTTTGTGAATTTAGTATTGGTGGGTTTTTTTATGCTTGTAAAGAACGTTAAAATATTGACTGGAGAATTCTTCCTAAGAAAGCCCACTATGAATCAAAAAGGTCAATGTATGGTAACATTTTTGTTGCAGATTGTTTAACTTTATGTCGAATTAATGAAGTATTCCTTTATCGATTGAAAAATAGTTATTTCTATTCTCTACCAGCCTTTCCAGCATCATTCAATTCAAATGTAATATATTTCGTACGTAGAGCTTTTTATTAATAATTGAAGTGCTTTGATGCAAGCTGCATATGTTTTTTTGAAAAAATTGTTTATCTTTGAACTGTTTCTTTATTTCATCTGTTAATATGTTTCAATTTAAAACCTTTCAGATAATTGAAGTGTCGTCTTTTGACGAGAGTGTGTATGTATTGGATAGTTCTGGTTGTATATACGTGAAGGAAAATATAAGTACTGTTTCCCCATTTGGTGTTGATTGGAAAATCTTAGACACAGGGCCTTGCGGTTAGCTTTTTTATTTTTATTTTTTTATTTTTGATTTCGATTTTTTTATTTTTGAAGGTCTATCTACTCAGTTTATCTTACTTTTACTTTTTTGAAGATTTGGATTAAATATTTACATAATTGCTGCATATTCAGGTTCACCAATAATATCATTTACCGTCACATCGGTTTCATTATGGGTACTTACGGCAGCTAATGAAACCTGTTTGTATGTAAAGAATGAGAAGAAGGAACCGCTAGTTGGTACAAATCCTAAATGGATTCATCTGAAAGCTTTGGATGGTTGTATATTCGATAAAGTTAGGAATTTATATATGAGACATTTCATTGAAGAGCTCTTTGCTTATTTCGGCTGTAATTATGCTGCTTTTGCTTGTGACTTTCAAATTTGTTATTTAATAAAGTAGTTGTTTTTTTAGATTCGTGCATCCTCTAATGGAATGTATGTATGGGTATTTTCGAGGAACAGTGGGCGTGCATGGGCTCGCAATTCTATTACGGACGTACTCCCTTCTGGAAAGTCATGGATAGAGGTTAATTGCTGTCTGAAGTTTTGAATGGATTTAAAATAAACGCTTATTGAAATTCGAAGATGGCGGTTTCAGGCGAGTAATGAGCCTGGTGTTTACGACTTGGCTGTAGGGTGTAAAATAATCTGGTCGCTTTCCGCTTCTGGACAGCTTCACAGACTACAAGGTCTTGCGATCAGCAATCGAGCTGGAAATTATTGGAAGCCTATCCCACTTTATTTAAAAGCAGTGACTATTGATAGAAAAGAACGGTTATGGGGAATCGACTTGAACAAGCGATTAGTTTCTCACAAGTTAAGTTTTCATTTTATGCTCTTGCTAGTTTATCGTATTCAAATTTTATTAATTTTCATAACATTTTCTTGTTATTTTTTGATTTCTAAAAAATTCGTATGCCATGAATTTAATTTTCTGATGTTGAAGAATTTTAGACCGAACTGTATCCTCCCTTCAATGGCCATCAGCTGAATGCGATGAAGATTAATTAATGGTAATCACTTGTATATTTCTGGTATTGTTAACCATTTCGAATATTTTTTCATAATTTATTGTTTTAGTAAAATTATTCATTAGTCCTCACTATTCTCACTCAGAAATTCAAAAATCTCATAAAATATAAATTTGTTTTAAGTAATCTCCGGTATATTTCTCATCTTTTTTATGCTTGATTGTAATTATCTTCGTGGTAAATTTTCTTTGCTTTGGGGTAACTATTGCTGTAGTTGCATCTAGTAATCAGCATACTCAGTATTGTGAATCTAGTCCCAAAATTTCTTTTTCTTTTTAACTTTGCCAGTTTTCAGTTATTAAAAAATAACTCTTTTTATTAAAATTATTTTCATTTTTGTTAGTTCTTCAATTTGCTATTTATAACGCTGGTTGATATGAATATGACGTATCTCTTTGTGTTGCTGAATTACACAGCTATACAAAACAGTAATCATCTGGTATATGTTATCTGATATGTAAAAAAATGGAAAAGTTGTTTGCACGAATTTTTTTGGATTAAAAGAAGATGTAATTAACACGTTTTTGTTGAAGGAAGAGGTTTGTAGCGTGATATTAGGACTTATGACTTCGTTAACACTTAATTACTTTCTCTTTCAATAAGAGTTAGAAATTCTAAACACAGTGCATCGACAGACTTCCGCTCATTAATCTTTAAATTTCAACTTGTTCTCTGGAAGACAACAATTACTTAAGGAAGTGAGTGAGGGGCGGGGAAAGTGTTTTGTCTTGAGTTTTCTGTTTTGTAAGGGAGAATGTAAAGAGTTGCTCGTTTTAAGTTGTATTTTACTGTTTATGAGGATGAGGGACTGTATCACGATTTCGGGATTGTAGCGTTAATTCATGAATAAACAACCATACCTTACCTCTACTATGATCACGTTGTATTTGGGTTAATATTCGACTGATTTGCATTGTTACTTCCTTAAAGAGTTCGAATGAATCTTAATCTCCCCTACTTCCTTTTATTTCGCCTACATACTTATTTTTTCTCATATAAAGTTTTGCTAAGAATTTTCAGACTCTGATCACATGCGATACTTATGTGAGCTATGAAATCTAACAATGGTAATTTACTTTGGTTATAGGTAATCTTGAGATAAATTGAAGAATTGCAATATCTCTTGTTTGGACCATTTTAATGGATGTCCTATTGTCCATGTATTCCTTTAAATTTCTTCCTTTCTTTCCGCATAGATTTTCATAGTCTCACTAGATTAGTCGATAAGAAAGTGAACTGAAACTTGTAAACAGTTGATTATATTGCATCATTTTTCGATCTGCTGGCTAATTAAAGTATAGGAAAACACAAATAAGAACTGGGCTGTGTTAAATGGAAAATTGTGACTGGTAATGATAAAAATTAGATGTAATTTACTATATTCTAATGAAGCATAATTGTAGTTCTTTTGACCTCTGATGCTTCTATGTCCTAAGACATGATGTCGTACTGTACGATACAGTTTGATTTCTTCTTTACAGTTATCAGCTATTCAGAAATAATACAAAAAATAACTCAAATGAAACAGGAACTACAAGACTTAGTCAAAATCAAAACTTAGTTGAACCATCACTTTTCATTTCAATTTATTTTTTCAAGTTTCGAAAATTTCTAAGGCCATCCAAAAGTATGATGAATTTGCACAAGTGAACAAAATAAAAATACTATCAACTTTATATTAGTAATTTCAATATCATTGACGATCAATAACTTTCAGAGTTAACTCAGACAGACGAAATATTCGACTATGATGCTGAATCAACCAAAACTAAGGCCAGCATAATCAAAAATTGATACTGAGGAGTTCTAAATGCTTGTACTACGTTTGATTACTACTAAATGTATGAATAATTTGTCGACCGTTTCATTTTCATTGATACACCATTTTTATGTTGCTGTGGAGATAGCTGGAAAACCTATAAGACTCCTTTCCAAATAAATATTACCTTCCCATTGCTTGCCGATAGTCAATATAATATGTTTACACAAATATTTTGTTTGATTTATCCATCGATGATGCATCACTTTAGCAGCAAACTACTCTATCAACAATTCACTCAGAGTGACAGATGTTGACAAGTTGACTCAGTGCTTTATTTCTTTTTTAGTTGTGTCTTAAAGTTTGATTTACAGCAAGATGGAATAATAGTAAGGTGATTCAAAAATTTAATAAGATGACCCGTGAATTAAAAAAATTTTAATTTCGAAAAAAATTTGTATTTCAGGAATAGTTAAGTGAAAAGTTTAATCGGAAAGATCATGTTCTTATTTTAAAAAGCTTACATCATGTTCTTATTATTTCGATTGTTATTAAATTAAGTTCAATCAAAGTAAGCTGAAAATCAGCTTTTTGAAGTAGATAATGGTATGTGACATAAGATAATTTGTTAAGTACTAGTAGTAGCTTACTTTAATCTCTTCACTTGAATAGTAATTGTACTTGGAAGTTCTCTCTTCAAAATATTTCTCTTTCTAATATATTCGAGAGACGAATAATTACAGCTGAAAAAGCAAGCATTTTTTCAATTAAATAAAGATAAATTAAAAAAGTCAATTGAACATGTGATTTTCTCATCGTATTGAAACAACTTGTCAAAGTTTTGACATGAATTTGGTAAAGTTTTATACTGCTAATAATTCCGCTAATAAATAAGTTTAACTAGTATTCCAGATTGAGCCTAATGGAACAGTTAAGTTATCCTGCGTTCTAACTGAGTCTTACAGCATATTTCAAGAAAATTATTCATGTGAAAATGAAACAGTTTAGTAAACTTTCCTCTTCCACCTCCTTCCCCACTTCTTTTCTTTATCTCCGAGAGTAATGTACATTGGTGCTCTCAATTCGAGAATTGCTCTGATACTGAGTAAGGTGGAGGAAAAAAGTTAGAAGAGTCCTATGATGAATTTGTTTGTCAAGACCTTAATTCTTTTATAGATATTTATCTGTCCTTGTCCTTTAAGTTCTGTCTTCATTCTTTCTTTCGAATAATATTTTTGAATTATATTTATTTGTAATTAACAAGTTGCAAGTCCCAAATATTGGAGAAAGCACTTCCAATAAAATCATTTTAAATCTAAATGAATCGATGGGAAGCATATCAGTACAGTCCCACTGCTGTCGTGTAAGTCTCATGAAATTTCGTTAATTAGATTTTTCTTTAATGAATCTGCGCAATTTCTTCTTAACTGCACATACTAGTTGTTAATGTCCTCAACACATCAGAATCGAATATTTAATGGTAATTTGTCGTTGGTTTTGCGTGAGTTTAGTTCTTGATTTACTTGACAATTTGAGCTAAGAAAGTCTATTGATTCACTAAGTTGTTTTTCATCCTTATGTAACTAATTACTTTGAAGTTGTAGGCAAAATCAAGTGACAATGCAGGATAGTAAGGCACTTGTTGAACGTGAAGTCTTCCAGCACGCTACTGTTGGCAACTTCTTGGGATCCAGTATTGAAGGTCTCTCCTTTTAAACTTCGTGTTCTACTACTTGAATTTAAAGTTTTACGTTAATATTTCCATGATTTCAGGGTCAGGTTCCGGTTTTATACGCTGTCTATATACAGCAAAGAATACAATAAATGCAACCGTCACATTGTTGTGAGATTTTCGAACTCTACAACCACTAACATTAAAATCAAACACAATATGCTGTCATTTGTACCGCGTCTCTCTGAAACGGAATTAATTTTCAGTCGGAAAGCATAAGTTTTGGAAGTAATTAAAATTGAAGTATTACAACAAAAATCCCGCAACAATAAGTTATTCAGAAATGTTGCAGATGTGATGTCAATGCTGGTTGCTGTGAGAGAGGTTGCTGTCCTCAAGATCTTTTCTGGTAAATTATTTGGTCGAATTCTAGAAGACTTGATAGATTTCCAGTGCAATAATGAAATTTTTCTCAGAATATTTGTACAGTAATATATCATCGATATTTAATTTCAATTTCAGATAATAAATTTATTTCAGGATGGCTGGAGTATTTATTCTCTTAGTTTTCGTGCTTTTGGTGTTTTTCATTGGCGCATGCATCGTAATTTGTTGTTATTGGCGATCGAAAAGGGAGCAACGTAGGGAAGCTTATGAATATAGCATATATGGCTCTCAGGTATGCCAGTTTTTATGATTTATTCTATTAAAGTTGATTGAATTTTAAACTCAGAAAGCCTTTTTTTCCCATTCCAAAGCTTTTTGACATACTGAATGAGTGAATAGATTCAATATGCAAATATGATAGTATTGAAGGGAGAGCATGCATCGATCCATGTTTTATTCGCAACTGAAGGCGAGTATACTTGACTAGCTAAGCAAATGTTTTCCATTGACTGAGATAGTTTTCATGAACGACTTCAAAGAAGTAAAGTATATTATGACCACTTTATCCAGCCAAGCAAATTTAAATAAATCTTTGAAATGATTTGAATTTTTGTAAGAATTTAATTCTTTATCTTTAAATATATCGTATTTCAGGTCGGCATGTATCCAGATGGATGCAATTCTTATACAAGCCGATCTGTCTATCAAAGGTATTAACTGTGTTTGTCTGCTCATATAGATGTTTTATAAAGGAAAAGGGAGTGATAAAAATCATTGTTACTGAATCACAATTACATTCGCATCATAATGTCGCCTTCTGGTTGAGTTACTTTCTGATCAAGCTACTTGTTGGATTCAAATAAATCATTCTCGTGGTGTTCAATTTGATTAACATTTCTAATTTTCCTGATCATCAATATTTAACTAAGTTTACACATTTTATAATAAGGCGAAAATGCTGATTTTCTTGTCTCACTTCACAACCATCCTTACAACTTCCATCAATAGTAAACCCCAACTCAAGCAGTTCCTCATTTGAAAAAGATATTCACATAATAGCTTGAAATTTCACTTCACAATAAGAGCATATAATCTGAACCTAAGCAGAAAATTTATTCATTATTCGTAAAAATCGATTGCTCCATTGGAGAGTAGTCATTGAAAATGCAAATCTTTAAGTCCACTGATAAGATTCGATTCATGAATTTTCCCCGCTGTGGTATTTGTGAGAATGATTTGTAGCATATTCTCATGAATAATTACTTCGTAAGGGACAATTTCAAATAACACTACCTCTTAGGTGGGTTCATTCGCATCAACCTAAGAACATCACCATAGTAACTGACCACTTAATAATGAATGAGTTTGAAGTCGCCGTATATTTTTTACTGTAGAAAAGCTTGTCGTTGTCATTTTCAGCTGTTAGGAAGTCGAGTCTTTGATGCTCAATAAGTATGTGTCTCGTTCGAGTCAGCCATTATTATCTTCTATCAAGTTTTCATATTATAAATGCAAATTGTTAAAATGCTTGATCTATGTGTATTGCAAGCAATTTTTCAACTTAATGTTTATTCTTGTAGAATAATAAGACTAGTTCTAGCAAGTCAGAAATTCTGATGAACACATAGACTTTTTGTTACTTTTGATCCATTTATCATTCTATCCTTATGATATTAATTAGATTAAAGATTATGCCTTAGATTTTATTCAAACTTTAGTAAAAGATGAAATTTATCATCACGAAGTTCTTTTCAATTATTACAAATATTAATTTAAACCAGGAAACACAGTTATTTTCTTTAGATAAAAAAGTTGAAATGCTTTTGTTATTATCAGCTTTTACATTAAGATTAATTTAAGCTGTAAATTGCAATATTTAATGTTTTCTAACATTTCTATGTTAATAACAAGATTTCTAAATTTCATTGGGAATTTTCGAGGGAGATTTTCAACGTTTAAAATAACTTAGAATTAGAAATGAGAAAGAAACGATATTCTATCGTTTGTTTTCACAAAAGTCGAAGTGTAAATGTGTAGAATTTAACATTAAAAGATATAAGAAAAACTTACGCCTTGTCATACTTCAACACATAATTTTTTTTATCAGCATTATAATATATTAATGGATGTCAAATAGAAAAGCATATAGTAAGTTTTTAATCGATTTCTCAAATGAATGTTTGAAGAGCGAAAGCCAGTCATACCTACTCAGTTAAATGTCCTGATATCCCGTATCTTTTGAATCTTAATTCTGCTATGACATTTCTTCATGGAAGACAAGACACTGACCGTCTACATTCCTTAATCATAATGGAACTCAAGTAGAAATTTCAATATAGAATGAAAGCCATCCTTATCCATTCAGCAAAATTCCTCGTTTGATAATTAATAGTACGCTTATCTCATTTTTAAGCTTCCCGACAAATTCACTTAATAAAGTGCATTCATACTTCATTTTATTTGATGTTCAGTTCTCATTGTCATAACCATTGTTATTTAATTTAAAAATCTGAAATAGTAACAAGTATGAAGGCATATGGATTATTTTGAATAGAAATGAATGAAATAGTGCTGAAATAAAAAGACGTGCGATATCAGCCGTAATTAGCCGATATTATTTACTTCACGTACGTATTAATCAACCAGGCAATTTTTGCATAATTATTTTTGTTTTATAACATGTTATTAAGAAGTTCCTCTTAGTTGCAAATTCAATAAGTTTTGTTGGGTGGTAATACTGCATGCAACGCACAGTAACAGTTTCTGTAAACGGAAAAAAGCATTTAGTTTGAAAACTGCGTACTATTTAATTTTTAGAGCATTTTTTAAACTTTTTTTAGCATTATGCATTTTTGAAATAAATTAAATATTTTCACCACAAATGCGTGGTAGTGTTAATTGTTATTGGAAACTTTTTGCAATTGTTTTAGGTAGCTTTTCGAATTGCTTAATGAACTAGTAAAGTAAAACAATTCAATAAGAATATTTTCAGATAAAAATAGCTTAATTGATTTTAAATCTCAAGTTTAGATAATTGAACATTCAGAAGAATATAAAGTGCTACGTAGTTTTGTTTTATAAAAAAAAAAAAAAAAAAAAACAAATCAAGATTGATTGGAATCCAATGAAAAGTAAATGCTTTCTGATTGATAAAAACGAAATCAATTTCTAACTGATAAAAAAGTATCTGGAAGGTGAGTTAAATGAAAGCGCTTCAATATGTTAACAGAAACTGTCAAATATTTTTTGCATTTTTAAAATTCTTTTTGCTCCAAAAGAATTCAATTGAAAATAGCAAAGCAATAACATAAACATGGACTATAAATAATAGTTTATAACTTAGAGAGTTCGTAACTTAGGAAGAGCAACTTTAATCTAGCATTTGAAAGTAGAAATTATGAAGTCATAAACTGATATTAGCATATTTCAAGATCAGTTTGACTTTTGGCTTTTGTATGACACTTTCTGATTTTTGCATTATGGAAGGTTATGAAAAGTTTGCCACAAGGTAAAAGAAGAAAGAAAAAGGGTAGAGAAGGAAGGGGAAGAATTACATTCATTTAAAAAAATAGGCACAGCTTTTATCGGAGGTGTCGAGAAAGTTCGATAAATTGAATGTAGAATTGGAAAAGCTCACATTGCAGTATTCTTGGCTTTCATATGTAGCAAGCCTATAATTTTTGGTAGCATAATTTCTTTTTTTTTTTTTTTTACTTTTCTAAAAATTGAAAATAAATACAAATTGGAAGGAACAACAAAGTGAGCCGTCGAATAAGCGATTCACTTTGCAGACATTTTATGCGGTAATGACATTTCTAATTAATTAAACAACGCTTTTTTCATTTATATTAGATCAATTGTTAGAATAAAAGAAGTGTTGCAAGATTACTTTGTATATTGCCCGCTTGCAGTTTATGACAGTGAAAATGATTGGTGATATATGAAGCGATTGATTTCAAAAAATTATATAAACTCTTTACTATGAAATTATCCGTTATTTGCTTATTCGAAACTATAATTTCTCATTTATTAGCATGAATTATTATTATTATTATTGATTGTAAAAAAAATGGCTCAGTCAGTGGAATTTACTTTTTGTCACGCCACCTTGTTTAGGTGTCACTACTAAAATGTTAATACACTATATTACAAGGTCACTAAACTGCTAAGTAAATGAAGCTTTGATGATACCGTATTACTTTTGTTTATCGTTGTCATTTAGATTGCTTTCAGAACTCTTTTGTTCATTGACGTTCAAAAATATATTTAAGTCTGTTTATAACTTAAGTAATGCTCGAATGTGCGCGATATTCAATGCAGCAATCCTTCAAAGAGGTTATCACTGAGTTTAAATATTCTTCCTTTCCTTTTCTTAGGATTCACTAATTATCTGTAGCAAACAAATAGTGAATACTACCATTTTTATTTAAAATAAATTATCCTCACAATGCTAATTACATTTTCTACTCAGTTTTCTCTTCCATTTTTAATATGTCACATTTACGTTCATTTTGACTTGTAGTAGTTAATGTTGTCGTTCAGAAATGCAAGCAGTATTATATAGATGAAGAGAAGGAATCGAATCCGGTTAAGGAACAACAATATGAATACTTGATGGAATAATAAAAATGATTATTTCAAAATTAGCCCAGTCGTCGAGACTTTCTTTTTGCCTCACCAATTAGTTTAGATATCATTGCTGACACACACATGCTTGTAACATATGGCCTGCAATATACTATTTATAAAATGCACTCTTCACTGAAAACATTTCTGTGCTGATCGGAGCATGCGACATGCGTCACATTTCGATGTTCCTTGAGTAAAGATGGAAGATCGTTGATACACCAAATGCGGTCAGCATGTAACGAGAAATGGGTAATCAGAATAATGGATGATGATTTACCTTGATAAAGAAGCAAAAGTGAAGGTAAGCAATTAAATGAAAGGCTCTGCAGCTCAAAGAAATTTCACTTATGTCCTTAATTCTGTTTGTTAGAAAGTAGAAATAGACTACTGACAGTTGTTATTATATTCCCTATGTTGGATAGTATTTCTGATTCAGTTAAATGACTTAAGCAAATGATTAATTTTGAAAATGCATCTTGAATGCTTATTTTTCCTAGTTCTACATATCATCTTTATATATGTCAACAATTAATTGTGTTCCCTTCTGGCTGCGATAACAAAGAAGGAAAGAATTCAAAATAAGAGTTATAGTCTGGTCTAAAACAAGGAAAACATTTTGACTAATTTTTGTAAAAACGAGTAGTCAAAAAGATTTTAATAAAAGATGATAAAGCTATTTTGATATTTGACTAATTGAAAAATTTTCACTGTTTCTTTGTTCCATATCAAATGATGAATATTTGATTTAAAATATTTTTTGTTAATTTTTGTTAATTTAAAATTCTGACTACTAACTGTATTAAACCTCTTTTTAAAAGTCATATGGAATCTCAGTAAGACCTTTCGAGAAACAAAGCATGAAATTTGAATTAAATATCTCAAGCTTGTTGTCTTTTTTTATTTTGAAATTCCGTTTGTTCCCCTTGTTTTGTCTTATTCCGAAGAGAAGAATTACATCTCATATTTTCCTCTTAATGATATCTACATCACATACGTCTAGACTAAAATCATAATTATTAGTGCTCCATTACGAGAATCCTCAAAATAATCTATAATGTCAATGGCAAAAATTATGTATGCAATTTAAA